AGGAGACTTCCTTTTGGTCTTTCTGGGATTATACAACCACACCTTGTCTCCTGGTACAAAGCCGGGCTTCAGTAGATTTCTTATCATAACATAGCTTCATGGAATCAGTAGTCGTTTTTAAGTTTGAACGCACTTGATGATGAATATCATCCACCCTTTCAGATAACACCTTCACGAACTCTGGCACATTTCCAGGCAACTCTTCGTAAGGTGGGCGTTCTGTTATCAGGTCCACTGGCAACCGAAGTTCCCGACCAAACATCAACTTTGCTGGAGTGTATCCAGTGGCTTCATGCTCTGCTGTTCTATAGGCCATCAACAGTGGAGGGAGTAAGACATCCCAGTCATCTTGGCGGCTATTACAAAACTTTGCCAATTCCTGTCCCAGTTTCCAATTGTACTTTTCTACCATCCCATCAGACTGTGGGTGAAATAGTGTTGTTCTGGTCTTTCGTATTCCAAACAACTTGCAGCATTCATGGAACACAGCTGATTCAAAGTTACGGCCTTGATCAGAATGTAGTTCGTATGACATACCAAATCTGAAGAGGAAATCACTAATTGCCGAAGCTACAGTTGTAGCTTCCTGATTTGGTATTGCATATGCCTCAGGCCATTTGGTGAAATAATCCATCACCACACAAATGTACTTGTTTCCAGCACGAGTTTGGGACAAAGGACCAGCAATGTCAATGGCTACTCTTTCCATTGGTGCACCAACTTGATATAACTTCATTGGAGCACGTCCTTTATGCTTGGGTCCCCTTTTAACACAACATGTACTGCAGGTCTTGCACCATTCTTCCACATCTTGCCTCATACCTATCCAGTAAATTCTCTGTCACCTCTATCGTAGGTGACTCAATGTCTTCTCAACTCCTGTTAAACTATCATGGGATTGACGCAGCACAAGTTCCCGTAATTTTCTCGGTATAACTGTTTGCCAGGTCGTCACTTTCTCATCTCTGGACAAGAATATCATCTTCAAGCTTAAACTGGTCCCATTGTGCCCAATAGTTCTTTGTCATAGGGCTTAAGCTAGCCAGCGTTGCATGACTTCCGCTGTCGTAACATTATTTTACTTGTATGTTATTGCTGTAAATGGTAGTTACGTGTCTGTGAAGGTAAAGAACGGGAATTCATGGTATTTATTACTAATTGCTTTATGTAGTATTAACTTGTTAAATATAAATATATATTAGCAGACTCCCTCAACTCTCAAGAGGGAAAATGTAATTCGAACAATTGCTGAATTTAAATTCGATATTGAACAATTCAATTATGATAAAGAGTTATTACAATATTGAGGCTTTTATTGGCATTTTTGTTTCTTATCCTGCTACTTATAACACATCAAATAGCATCTAGAGTACCCAACTCTTGGTACGCAAACTTTTTTATGGCGCCCCCTTTTCTAAATATGTGTTTTGTTGCGTCCCTTCAGCACCCTGTATAACATATTTATATTTATATACTTTACATGTAATTTTCCCATGTTAATTGTTGTTACCATATTACTTAAATATGGAGAAAACTCGTACTTCGCGTACGAAATGTTTTTTATTGTGTCATTTTGTATTTGAATGCACAATGTTTCTAAAATTGTGCATGGAAGTGACATGTATTTAAAGTAATTAAACCAATTAATTGACCTGCCTAGACTACTTACGCATGAGGTTAGGCAGGTAAGAGTTCTGAACGAATTTGATGGCTGCGAGGTTAAACCTATTTCACAACATGTGATACCCACCAAATACCTCTAGTACAGAAGACATTTTGGGTCATATGGTGTAATCAGAAATGACAAACCGAGCAACGCTTTCAAAACCTTGTTACCGGGGCAAGTATTAAAACTCAACAGGGTGATTTTCCAGGTACTCTGAATGGCTATAAAGAAATGAAAAAATTCATACACGAAAAATCTTAATACATAATTACTGCTGTATGAGATGGGGCTCTGAGGGATGACAGATCCTTTCCTCAGTTACATTTCTCTTTGAAATTCATAGTACTGTCTTCACCCACCCTTCGCTCCGAATTTAATTTTTACATAGTTTAGTGAAGCTTCCCATGCACTCACAAATTATAAAGATAGTAGTAGTAATATTTGTACGTCAGTTTTTAAAACTTCTTAATTTTTTTAATTTGTACTTTCAGATATAATTTATATGTTCCCATAGTCATAATTGAGTGCTCCCTGCCGACTCTCTGTGGTCACCAAGGTTCCACATTTTGTGCATCGCGGAGGGGCAAAATGGTCATAACAACTTTCTATAATGTGTCTGCCATTCATTATTAATCACTATTTACTAATAAATGTAAATGTTAATGTAGAATTTCAGTACCTCTTCTGTTATTTTTATTGCGCTTTATGTAGAGTTAGGCATAAGGATGATTTATTAATTAATTACCAACAATGACGTTTTTTTTTCATGTAATCAATTCAGTGACATTGTAATATATTAAGTATTACCAAGAAATACTATACTGTCATCTAAAATATTTCTCTATGAACTGAAGACAACAACAACTAAACGTTACTACACTAAAGCCCAAGAGATGGCGGTGGGTGGTGATGACTAGCTGCCTTCCCTCTAGTCTTACACTGCTAAATTAGGGACGGCTAGCGCAGATAGCCCTCGTGTAGCTTTGCGCGAAATTCAAAACAAACAATAGTACTTGCACTAACATTTTAATATCAAAAGAAAAAATTACATTGAATATTAAAACTTCTCAAGAAGGCCATGCATAATTTCGAAAAATTAATTAAACATAAACATGTCATTCAGCTGATTAGAAAACAAATCTAGACCAAGCGTGCGGGACTATAAAACCAGAACAAAATGCATAACTTTCCATACCGCAAACATTTAAATTTTTAATGAAAATACCTCAACAAGATATTTTAATCGTAAATGTAAATATTTAAAAAGAACTAATGTTTGTAACACTTATAGAAATTTCAAGACGGAGTTACATTTCAAACAGCCACATAATAAATGTTTCTCATATAGAAACTGGGACAGACAGCACCAACAACAAATATAATGAAACCCATCATTTCCGGTCCCAGTTTTATATAACACAAACTCTAAAAAACCATTTTATACGATCTGTAAGACTATCGATTGCTTCTGATGAAACGCACATCTCCACCGCCATTGTTTCACGCTCTCTTTGTGATTCGTATACCTATCACTTGTTGCTATATAATATATATTCTAGGAACTGATATGAATGTAGATGCCTTAGGCTCACCGTGAACGAACGAATCAGACTGTGGTAGAAACTCCCGTAGTAAATTAAAAAGTGAAATCTAAAATCTGACCTGTAGACCCAGGGCATGCTTTTCGGATCGAACGAACGAAGTTTCGGTCGTACGAAGTTACGGTATTTAAGTAAACCAGAGTTAGTGTATCGAACACTCTTGTAGGAGAGTATTTGGTTGTAGTCACAGGACGTGACGTCAGGTGCGTGGCTCAACGCAAGCTTGGGCAACTGCTAGTTTATCAGCGTTCATGCATACATGGTAGAAGCTTCCTGGACATGCAATGACAGTTAAACTACATGTGGAGTACCGCTCTGCGTGCGTGTAAAGGTGTAAAAGGTAACACTAAAAGTTTTATGTCTGTCACCAAGGCCCAGTTAATTGTACGTAACATCTGACATAGCCTAGTTTCCCACTCTTTTTGCAAGTAATTGGTTAGGTTTGTAACTCTATCATTTAAGATTTTGTAGTATATGTGTCTACAGGGAGAACTACTCGTGACTGTTTTATCGTGTGTGTAGAATGTATAATTGTATCTATAAAATTCGTTTAATAAAAAGTAAGTTACACTATAGTTTCCATAATAACACTTTAACGGTGTCTCCACATAAAATATGTATTTTTTATAAATCATTTAGGTTTAAACTAAAGTGTAGGCCTATACGAAATAGTGTACCTGTACCGTAGGTAGAATGATTATTTACTGAATACCTCAATATCTATTAGTTCGAACACTTATCTGATATTTCAATTTCATGCAGCTGTTGGATCGTCAAGTCTCTGTGTACTTATAGTTATAACACTGGTTAAGTAATACGTGAAACTGTAGTTGAATGCATCGAATTTTTCACCCAACAGCAAGCATGTTAAGTCTCGCAATGTAACGTTCACTCTCTACTATATCTAGAACGGTGCCTGTAAGTCGTATTGACATTAAAACGGGTTAGGGGTTATAAAATCATTAATCTATAGATAACATTGATTAACATTTCACTACATGTGTAGATGATTTTTGAATAGTTTTGATTAGCATATTTTCCACAATACATTGAACAATGTCAATCTGTTAAACAGATTTCTTTTTAAAAAGAGGAAATAGTTACTCGACGTAACTCAATTCCTTGTTCGTTATTTCATGATACGAGTTACGTTCGTAACCTTTCTCTTTTGCCGTTTCATCACAAGTGAATTTTTATTGTCTTTATTAAGGATTTGACATAAGGTTTTGATTTTATGTTGCGAGTATATCGGGGATTTTCATTTTGATCGAATCTTTGATGACAAGTCCATATTTTGAAGAAATATATGAAATGTTGATATACTGTTATAATTTAGAACTTTTATTTCCAAATTCCTGTTATACCGTCGTTTTTGAATGTGTTCAAGTTTCAAGACAAGTTCAGTTATATCAACAATAAGAGTTAACACTATAAGACCAAGGGTGCTGAAAATGGTTTTATTATATATAAATAACAGGGGTGTTATGCACCTGCTGGTGGTGTTGGAAATAGAAAAGTGTAATGATAAATCTAACTAACTTTATAAATTAATTTGCCTCCTGCCCTGTTTCTCGCCGGAGTAACTGTTTTTTAGTGGATTACTCCGGTTAACCAGATGTATGGTTACCATTGTATACAAGGGTTACAGTTTTATTCAATGGTTTCAACTACTCCACTATAAAAATTGTACCACTGTATATGGTTACAAACTAACAATATCAGTTTTCAAAAATACCAGTAAAATAAATAAAACTATTACAAGCTAATAATATAAGAACCTACAGTAACACAACTAGAATAGATAAAATAACTCTCCAAAAGTATCAACGCCTACAGTAACACTATTAAAATAAATAAATCAGTATGCTACATTATCAAAGCTTACAATAGCAAATCGAGAATAGATACAGTGAGAATATGCTAAGTCTTTGAGTCTTTAGTAACACCAGGGGAATAAATAATATAATAGCTAGATGTACTTCCGCAGGGTCCCCGAAAGTGTTCTGTTTCAAGAGTAAATAAAACCAAAATTAAGAGTAACAAATATTTTGATTTCTTCCTTTTGAAGTTCCTATGTTATGCTGTATTGTAGCCAACAGAATGCATAATTCTAATCGTGATTCATGGCATGCATATGTTTTACTGGCGTCATGACAGTACAAATGGTAATGTTAAGCGTCCCTCTTGTGACATCATTCTAATGTCTGCTGACTGACTGACAACACACTACTGTATACTTGTGCGAGTGGTTAAAACAGGTGATCCCTCCAGACGGCCTTCGGCCTCCTTATGGGAAAACTAACTAACAGTATAAAAGCTTACAGCAACAAAACGAGAATAAATTATATAATAACAAGACTACGAGAATAAGTGAGGGTTCCCATATTATTTAAAATTGCAATGGTAACATTTTTTACTTATATTACTTTACATAAATATTGTAGACTGCGAGTATTTTTTTTCAAAGCGTAAAGTTACCAGTTAGTGTGGAAATTCTATAATGTTTGCCAAGACATCGTTGTCCTTGAACAGAAATCAATGAATCACTTATCTCGCCATGTGCCAAACCAGTAGACATTGCTAGAAGTCTGAGGCTGTCTGAACTAATATGAATCTCGCCACAATTTGTATTTAATTCAAAGATAAAACAGCTCAAACTGTAATGAATGAGCTCGCTTTCTCTATAGACTAACCTATAGGATTTTTTTTTTAATATGATTACTAGGGAAAATTAGTTTTTGATGATGATAACATTAAGACTAATTGTGATACTTTAATGCTTATGCTGACTTCTCGGTGCTGGCATGTACTTCACTGAAGCTAATAATTGTTTATATCCTCTTTGACCTTATTAACAGAATCATCCAGGAAGTATTATACTATATAGCCCGAAAACTGGTGTTGGAAAACATTGTGAGGTCGGAGGTGTACATACACACGACCCATCATGGGTACGCCTAACGCTAGTATCTTACCCTTTATCGCATGTTGTCTCTCCATCCTTAGTATCATTCTCCAATTGGTGGCGCTACCATCGAACTATTGGGCTATCATCCATCCATCGAATGATTCAGGTATGTGTGAAACAGAAAAGTGTTCATAAAAACTATTTAACAGCAAAATAATATTAATTCATTATCTAATAAAATTCATAGCTATCCGAAAAATACAGCGTGAGGCAAAAGTGACAATGTAGATTTTTCAGAGTTTCTAACTACTGCTCTGAAACAAACAATAATGATATTGTTTTTTTTTTAAATCGTATAATACCAACTGTATAATAGCTTCTACAACACCCTGTTTATTTTCATACATGTAGGGTTGCAGAATACATTCTTCCTTATTACTTCGTATGTATAGATATTCGGTCGTATGTATTCAACTCGCAAGTGTTCTTTCGAACTACTTAGGTTCTCCTGTCATATGCGACGCATCTTCCCACCTATGACACATGCCGAATCGGTAATCATATAGTAATCATATGGTAGATAAATGTGGTGGTAATGACTGTTACATTCAAACAAGCAGATGCTTAGGGGGGAAACTTGGTGGATTAATTTCAGTCACAGCAGTTTTTCGTTAATTTCTTTTATCCAATTTAATTTTTGATTTGAGCAACCTTTTCTATTTTATTAATATTCATTCTCTTCTTTACCATCTTTTTATAATAAATCTTATTGTTATTCACTTTAATTAGATTTTTTTTTCTAATAGTGAAATTTTCTCCGTCGTTGCTATTCTCCCCTCGCCTAATCTACTTGTTCCTTCCAACAAGTAATCCTGATATCGAGCTCAATTCTATTAAGACTTGTCGCTTTCTTTTAAAGGCAATGATTTTGATACTGCTTTACAGCTATTCAAAAATATCATCAACTGTTCTTTCAAACATTACCCTCCACTAACTGTCCGCAGATCGATTTGTAAAAAAAAAAGATAAGTATTACTTTAAAGTTCGTTCATTTCGAAAGGGGAGAACCTTGTATTAGAAAAGTTTTGAACATCATACTTCATTTTATAACTTTTTATTATTTTATTTATTATTTTACTTGCCTATATAACTAACACGTGATCACATTCTGTTACCGAAACACAAGTAAACACTAGATTAAACTAATATTATGTTCTGTACGAGACGCGTCTTATTGACGTTACATGTAACTCAAGATTTTTTATCACAGAATTGTGCACTCTCAAAATTCCATGACACTGACCACATATTATTTATCTTCATTGCTTCTCGGCCACTCTTTACTCTTGGTCATCGTCTTTTCGGTCAATTTTATTTCAAGAGCAAACAATGACTCATTAGTAGATTCGCGCGAAGATTGATCATCCTAGTGGAGCATTCCAAGCTGATTCAATTTCATCTCCTGGTGTGGGTAATAACTTCAACTGTACCCGACCATATACTACCTTCTCCTGGCTCGATTAATATTCTCCAGTCTGCCTGATCCACTTTTACCTTCTTTTGTATTGGTTAATATTTTTCAGTTTACATCCTCTTCTGTCAATACTAAGATTGTCTATCGTCTCATGCATGACTAAAATATTACTTACATCTGCACTTTAAACCTGAAACACCATATCTCCTTTTCCATATAGCAATCTGAAGCTACAAGACATTTCCAACCTTTACAAGTCCCTTATTTTTCCTGAGAAGTTTCATAGATAGCTGGGCCTTATCTGCAATTCTTTTAGCTTATGATATAATTTCTCGAACTTGTTTATTTGTGTATGATCCGCTTGTTGTTTTATGCATTTGACAAATCCGGCTGAGAATCACTGATCTAGTCTCCTATGTTGATTCCCTCTTTCTCTTTAATCTGCATTTAAATCTCTTACGACTTGTATTTTTTAGCTAGTCCTTATCTTTTCCTCTTCTCCCTATTTTGCCAGTGTCGTTGCATTTATTTGAACCGGATTCTTTTCATCTTTTTCAAGCGCTTTTAAATAATTTTTTTGTTCACATATGTTGTTTTCGTTTCAGCACAAAGCTACACAATTTGCTATGTACGCTCTGTCAACCGTCTAGAATCCAAACCCGGATCATAGCGTTGTAATTCCGCAAACTTACCACTACCCATCAGGATGCATTTCAATATGTTTTTCATTTATTTTTTCCCAACATTTAGTTCCTTCTACACATGAATGTAATTAATTTTTTGCCAAATTACAATCATGTTTTTTCTAATACGAATGTTTACAGTCAATGTGTAAAACAGAGGCAGATTGGAGGGGCCCTTGTCTTTAAGACAAAAGTTCTTGTGGGGGGATACCCCCGAAAAGGACTCGAAAGTGGTGTGTGTGTGTGTGTAACCTCTCTTTCAGAAATCATTGACTTGCTTCTCAAAAGTCAAGACTTATTTTACGAGAAAGATGGTCGTGGATGTGCTTTTCATTTAATGAAACAGTGTATGCCTGGTATCTGTAACTTTTCTATCACAGTATTAAATTGGTTTTTATAAAATCTATCACTAGGTACAAAATGAATGTCATTTTGTCATTTCAATAAAAAAATTTTTTTAGGAAAAACTGGTTACAGAGAACTGAAAAGTCATGCTAAACAACTATTTAAGTTGTGCAACAAGGTGTTGTATGGGGATTAAACGTAATCGTAGCAGTGACCTCTAAGGTATTTCCTGGAACTTTCGAAAGCAACATGCTGTTCGTTGAATTAAACTTGTCATATCCTAGCATCTGGGTTTTTCCAAAATTGTTAATTTTCTGACAAAATAATGACGTATAAAAAAAGCTTTTGTTGTGGTGTTTGATGATATGTAATGATACGAGAGTTTACGTTATCCTCCATACATGGTTCATTGAAACTTGTACTATATTAAGTGGTAAAACCTGTTATGAGGCTTCGGGGCTTCTTCAAAGTTTCAAGCTATCAGTTCAAATTATTATGAATTGTTATATGCAGTAGTTAATTTTTATTAACTATACAATAATGGCTTTTTATTTTATCAAGACTTCGTATTGAATTTCGTTAAAAATAAAACGGTATTGGTGTTGTAGAAACTTGGATTTCCTTCTAAATATCTGGTTCCTTAATCTGTTTCTATATCTATGAAACATAGTGATACCTTGCCGCCCTCTGTAGTTTGTGTATGTGTGTAAGCTACTGAATGCCCATGACCTATAAAGGAAACGGTAAACTTGAAGTATAAGACTACAGGTGTGTATATGTACCGAAGTATGGAAAAAAAAAGTATTATTTCGGAAACCTAATGGGGGGGGGGGATCATGCCGTTCATTCTTTCCTTTAATCTATGAATGAAAAATATATATTGGATTCGAAAAAAATCAAAGTTGTGGATCTTGTCACCGCTTCAGGTAGATAATGGCGATTAAGTATACAAATATAAACCACGACAGTGGGATTGTTCTTTAGTTTTAATTATAAAAAGCTGTGAGCCATGATGAAAGGTTTAGTACAAAGGATGAGCAAAAAAAGGAAAACGAGTCGAGTAGATTTCACGAGACCTAGAAACTCAAGAACGTTTGAATAATTGACTATCCAGTAACATTGTATTTCTTATTTTGCTACGTACGTATAAGTTGTTAAATAAAATACTGCTTGAAGCTTATAATCTCAAAGGATTCTATGTGAAACATATCAGAAACTTGCTTTATAGGAAGTGGCAAATAATAATCAACCGTAATCTATTATAAATGTTATTTTCTATACTTCATAGATTTTGTAGTAAGAATGAAATACAATAAAAATGAAATCTTTACGTGCCTGGATAGATGAGGTTCACTGATAGAATCTTTGTCTGGCTAGTATCGGCTGAAAATTTACCAAGAAATCTGAATTGTCATGCAGCGTGAAACATGAAGGCGACGCAGAACTTGCAACCCACTTTGTTCTAGCGTGGCTCAGCGGTAAGCTTGAGGGTTTATAACGGGGTTCGATCCTTGCGTTGGCCACAGCAAAGAGAGCCAATTATGAAGCAGTGCGCTTAACAATGCACACAACAATCCATTACAACGTATAATTATTATTTCATAATTTTTATGATCTTTAGAGGGTAATGTTACAATAATAAATAATTTTATCTGTGAATCAAAGTTCATTACTCGTACCTTACCGAACACTAGACAGTAGTTTCAATCACAGTGATTGTGTATAAAGAAGTATTTAATCCGTTCGTTTGAATAGTCGTTGTTGAGAAATTGATGGGAGCAGATGGCTTTTTCAACTTTACATCAGCGTTTAAGATGTCCATTGTGTAAGATGTATTACAAAGATGGTGAGGGTAGAGGATAAAGTTGAAGTGGCTTTTCAGACAGGACCAGCAAGCAGCGGAGGCAACAATATATCCAAAGCTGCAAGCCTAAATTATATACACTTTAGATAATACAGGCTGTGGCCTACTAGATACAGATAATACAGGCTTCGTAAAGTAATCCATACTCTCACTTTTAAGGTTGTACGTCTTGTGATGAAAAATAGAGCAGCACAAGAATACATTCAGAACAAAAGCTTCGCCATGCTTGAAAGTACTGAAATGGGTGTAGTACTTAAAATAGGTATAAACAAAGTGTAACATCCTGAAAGCCCGGATTGGAGAAACACATGTTTAAATGCTGAAGTTTATCAGCAGACTAAACTATTCATAGATCGGGCAGAAGCGTCAGTCAGAATGAAAGATGTGTCGGCGTAGAACGCCGAAAATTGGCGGAACAAATAAGCGAAATATTTCTATAAAATATTTTGTGTAATGAAAGTTCACAGCATTCTGTTACTATACTGTATGTGTTAAGATTCTTTCGTATTCGTTTTAGAAAGTCAATTGTTTTCATTAGATGGCAGCAGCGTCTTTTAACGTACCTTCACATCATGATTATTCCAAGGACATATTTTCTTATTCTGATATACGTTTGTAATATTTTTTAAAGTTTCAGTAAGCATATTTTTCATACAGAGAAATGACAATCTAGCTTGAGTTTTAATTATGTATACTTTCTTTTTTTTTTCAGAAGCAAAGGTTGAGAACGGAAATTACGGAATATGGACCAGGTACATCACAAATATTCCACGTTCGGGAGATAAATTTTCGGCAAACTTTCGCCTACCACCTTATAGCGTTTCAGCAGGAGTTATGGCGATTATGCACGTGCTTGTACAACTAGCGTTTCTGTTTGCAGCGGGTATTAGTTGCATACAAGCTTTAAAAGATGACCCACAACTAATGCTGAGTGCTAACATACTCGGTGTAGTTAAATTGGTTCTCTCAGTCTTAGCAAGTGAGTTGGTTCTTTAAAAATGAGATACACTTTTTTGTTAAGTTTTATATGTGAATTTGACATCTCACTCTAAATATTGTTCATGTTTATCGTCACTAATTAACACACTACGTTAAAACGACGTGCAAATATTGACTAGGTTCTGTTTTCACTCTCATTCTTTTATTTACTGAAATATACTTGTGTGTCATCTAAATTAATTTTTGTAAACAGTGCATCTTAACAATTTTACATTTTTACGGTAGAAGCTTATTTCATTAATAACGTGAAATTTATAGCTTAGGTAAATATTTTTTATATTTAATAGGAACCTAATGATAACTCATTTTTCTATTGTAATATTTAATAGCATAGATCGTCTGCGAAAATAAATGAGAGAAAAACGCCAAATAACAATTCCTAACGTCATAACAGACTAGTTATCCTACGAAATAATTAAATATTTTTTCTTATTATCATTAATATTTAAAAAGTATTATTTATAGTAACGATTTTCTTCTGTGCTATTTTGGGATCTCATAAATCTAAAGCTGTATATTGTCGTAAATGAGTCAATACTGTGATGAAAATAAGTTGTCCAACTGGAAGATACAATGACAACTATATGAGTTAAGTATATCTGGAACATTATTTTTTTAATCGTATTTTTCTTTCGTTACAGTTTTCTTCAGCTTACTAGTTATAATCTTTATAACTGTAAATGAAAACCAATCTTTCCAGTATAAAGTTTATAAAGGTCCAGCGTTCTGGGTGCAGGTACGTAGTGTATTACTTTCCTTTGTATTATAGGATTTATGGAGTTAGAAATAACTCAAATAACAAAAGTTGTCGTAACATGACAATGATTAGACTGATTGGCAGGTAAAACAAATCAATATTGACTCTTCCTTGAGCAACTTCTTATTTTCTAATAGCCTCAACTAGTAACATAGGAATTGTAAACATTATCCTTGCCTCCATCAAAAATTTGTATAATAAATGAGTGAAACGTATTTGTTTGTTTTTTCTTAAATTTTCAAAATATTCTACACAAGGATTGCCCTTTTTTTTCGCTCAATTCTCAATAATTACATGCACTTAATATGTTTTAGTTGGAATTAAAATATTTCTTAGGAAGTTATTGTTTTATTCCTCCAGATAGGTCATAAAGAACATTTGTGTAACTGAAATAATATTCTACGTTAGCTTAATTACAGGGCTGGAATCTAACTTTGCGATCAACCAGCCATTCGTGCTGGCGACTTGGAAAATCTACCAAACGAACCAATATGAGTGTAAAACATTCAACAAATTATATGGCAATACACTGTTTTTATTTTTATGCTACTACACGCAGTAACATTTATGAAGTTAAATTTAACATCGATGGGAAAATAGTGAATATCAGGAACCATGGTTCGTAATACGGTTCTCCAAAGAATTTCACAAAAATTCTAATAGAGCATACAGGCAATAACCATCTAAAAAAGCAGACTTGTTCTTCAAATATCACTCAAGACCTGTCTCAATAGCTATGGCTGCTAAAATATTGATAATAGCAAAAAAGTATATTTTCTGATTGTTAGACAAAATTCATCTATCTGTTCTTCGTATTATTATTCATATTATTCTTGTTTCACAAGCCTACATAAAATACAGCTATGAATATTTTATTCAAGCCTGGACAAACCTACTAGAAAAACTCCTGCGCAGTTCATAGGACTATTTTTATATTGGTTTTTGAAAGAGATTGTATCAGTTTTTCATCGCTACTGGCTAAGTTTCTCTTCAAAGCCATTCAAGCACCGAAACCTTACAGCAAAAAGCTAGGTATACTGCGTCAAAGCTACTAAACAACCTCCTTCGAAGGTTGTAGGACTATTTTTAAGTTGATTCTTGAAAGTCGAGATTTCCACCCTCTAAAATTTTCTAAATTTTTCTTCGCTACCAATAAGAGCCATTCAAGCATCACAGACATGTAAAAGCCATTTAAACACCATTAGGGCCCGGCATGGCCAGGTGGATAAGGCGCTCGACTCACAATCTGAGGATCGCGGGTTCGAATCCGCATCCCACCAAACATGCTCGCCC